GCGGAAAACAAAAATTTATTGTCGATTAGGGAGTGATAAACATGTAGGGTAAATGTAAGCAAAATGGACTATGAATTCCTGCACGTGAATTGTTATATTTAATGATGTGATAAGGGCTGATGTTGTAAGGCCATGTTAATTCCATTAAAATAATGTTGAAAGTGGGCGGCGTGGGAGCGGTTATGGGCATTTAATTAATAGACCCAAATCGCGCATCTCCGCTCCCCTCAACCACCACCCCCAGCGTCGACCGGCAGCTCCAACGCCCTTTAGGCCTAATTACTGGCCGCTCCCGTTTTCGGAAATTGCACGCGAAAATCCATCCCAGCTTCGGCACGAACGAAACGGACTTTCCATTAAACCAAATTTTATTGCACGTAAAAGGCAACAACAAAAACAAAACAGTTCCATTTCGAGTTCCATTCGCAAACCCCTATCAAATCCATCTAGCTTTTAATTACAAAATTATAACAAGTTTGTGCATACAACATATTTTTTTTATTTTATCGCTATTGTCTTTCTCCGAACTTATAATAATGTGAGTTTGATATTTTACACAATGCACATTGTAATATATTCAATGAACTTATGTAATGGATTTGCGAGATAAGGTTTCTTTTGTGCGAGGAAATATTGAAAATTCTTTGAAATTTTTAATAGGATGAGAGTATTGTAAAAAAGAAGTGTTTTGTTCAAGTTTGTCAAGTTGAGTGATGATAGTATGTATCTTATAGGATTGTACTAAAAAGGGAGTCAAATGGATGGAGTAACAAGTTACGACTACTTATATAGACATAATAAACGTGGCGGAATGGGATGGTGCTAGGATGTCAGTTAAAAAGGAAACTACCTTCCGATTACAGTGCATGCATACAAACTAATGTCTCTCTTCGTGTAATTTATTAGTTATTCCAACGCCGCTAATTATTTTAATGTTAAACGTTTCACTTGTGATTAATCACTAAGAAAGTCTATTTTGGAAACATTTTTATACTATTGTTTGTTTAAATATATGTTATTGTATGGATAGTAATTATGTATGATATAGTAAATGGTAGGTTTCTTAAGCAAAGTATGCAGGTATTAATAAATAATTACGTATGAAGATAGATTACTTGTCTTGTGTCAAGGGTTCTCAACCTGACGTATATTTGCACTTTTGAAGTGATATTAGTCAAAGAGAATAGCACACATCATAGATAATTAATTACATAAGCTATATAAATCATCTGTCTTTCAAATTAAGAGAGTAAACAACCTTTAATTTCCTACTGTTTAGATTAAATCAAGATAAAAAAAACAATCATTTAATAAAAATAATAATTTTGTGTACTATTTTTAAAGAATTGAGTTTGTTTTGATATTTTCGAACCATATGATAGTGAAACCGCACTGATCGAAGTAGTATTATGCGAGGTATCGCTGCATTACTTTGCATTACTTACATTGCATTTCTTTAATAATAAAAAAGTCAATAATGATCGAATTTGATTATGAATTAGAATTCCCAATATAGTTGGGAATCATTAAAACAAAATTTCGTGTTTATTTGCTTGTACACAAATATTAGTAATCAAATAATTTAAACTTAGTACATGCAAAAAGAATGAATAAAGAAAAGATAATAAACTTTTTTAATATACTAAAAGCTGCAGTAAATCAAAGCATAATTATATAATATTTCCTACGCGATATCAGTTAAATGGGCATTGACCCAAATATACTTTTTTTTAGTTTCATTCAGATATATAAATGTATCAAACGTCCATTATTTGAATAAAATTCTCGTTTGTTCTTGAGTTTTATGAATCAGAAGTAATCTAAATCCCGAGTATTATGTGCGGCGGTTTACTTTATCTTCACTATTTTTCTTTATGTAAGTAATGCCGATTACAGAGGTTAATAGTTGCAAGCATTTTAAGTAATCTTCTATGCACTTCACATATTTACACTGGACTCTCCTAATACGGCGGGGAGTGACTCATTGGAAACTAGTGCCAATACATGCTGAAAAACGTTCACAATTGCGAATTTCGCAACGATTGATCGCTTCTTTTTATTCAGCACATGGCGAATGAAAGTTAATTACGTAAATGTCTCGTCTGCAGGGCTGGGCCGAGGCAACCGAACTGGGCGTGTGCCGAGTGTAGTGTAGATATGCGAGATGAGACCGCAATAATATCGCCCAGTTTTGCAGGTCAAACGAAAGAAAGGTTGAAGAGAAATACAAAATAAAAACTGCTGCTACTACTATAACAAAAAAAAACTGGTCTTCGCTACTCGCGAACAGTAGAATGCAGCTATAAATGCATAGATTCCGGATGATGGTAATTTCCAATCATCATCTGTGCCAACTGTAAATATGAAAGTCCCCGACTGCGGTAATTAACTAATTAGCAGCCGCGGGTGATCCATTTAGGCTAATTGCTTTTATTTTCGTATTATTTGACAATTCAGCAATTGTTGTTTGATGTATTCATTATTGTTGCGGAAAAGAAGAAGTTTCCAGATTTTATAATACATTTCCGGTTTTGGAATACTGGTATTTCCAAATATAATACAAAAATATGTCTCATGAACAATTATTTAATTATTAACAAAAAGCAATCTTTTATTAACACACGAAATTCAGATGACAAAAATAGCCTCATTAAAAACCACTGAAACTTGCGAACTAAATGTCATATAGGCGTCGTCTGAAGGTTGGTACTTCCTAAAAATAATATGGATTTGTCGATAGAGGCGCCATCTGTATGTCATCGCACGAACTTATTGAATGAGGTGTTATTCTATAATCTCTCACTGACAGCTGAACTTAGTTTGTATTTACTTAAATAATTAATCTGAATTCGTTGTTTTATTAGTTGTCTCAGATATATATTCTACAATATGCTTACTTATTCCTTTAGAGATTTTAAGTCAATATATCTAAAAAAAATTAGTGTACAAAACCGGTATTTTTTAAATTTTAAAACCGGTAAAAAAAGAAACAATGTGAGGTGCAATATCGGCTACAGCAAATATTTGCTCCTGCGACGACATCAATACAAGCTTATTCAAACGCAGACATGCCTTGCCATGATTTGCTCTTTCTTTTTTTATTTCTTCCGTCCGCCCCCGGCGATAGTTGATAGGTTTTCCGGCCTTTATGAAAACTGTATTTCCAGACATCAAACGGAAAACTTTGGCGCGCATATATGAGTTTCCGCCTTTTTTTTATTTCCGTGGTTTTTCGTCTCGCTGCATCGGAATTTGCCTCGTTGGCTTTAAAACTAAATAAAGGATTTCTCATTGAGTCCGCTCTCTCCGTCCATCTCTCTTTCGCTCTCGTTCACTTCGCGGTGGTTACGTTGGAGAGGTCTCGCTTCATTCCCATGGAAACGAGCTTTGGAATGTTCATGAGTACCTATATATTTGTATGTATATATATATAGATGGTTACGCCGGTCGTGTGCAGTAAGGGGAGAAGGGAATTAATTAATGAATCTACAAATATTGCTGAAGCATTAATGCCGCAATTATTATTAATAAGCTGGAAGGTATAAAACAGAAAAAAAAGTAATGAAAATATATTTTTTTTGTGTGTGTGTACGGAACATCTGGTCCGAATTCGAGCTGAATAATCAAGGTGCCCAATTATCCTCCATTACTTCAAATTCGTTTCCAGTCGATAGATTTTTTTTTTCATCTTTTTGCTCTTCGTTGTTGGATGGGAATGCAATAGGAGGAGGCGTTTGGCTTCGCTCCAATTGACACAAGACGGGTGTCGGCTGCAACTTGATGATGATGATGATCATCATCATCGTGATCATCGCCTCATCCTGCTCACTCGCACCAAAGAAGAGAGGGCGCCTGTGCGCTCTTCCTTTGTGCAGCGGACGTGACCGAGTCTTCTCTTCTTCATTCATCCGTCCAAGCGGATCGCTCCTTTTCTTTTTACATAGAATAAATGTTATTCTATTATTATTATTATGATCATCATCATCATAGTCGTCGCGGTGTTATTAAGCAAATCCGCAATCTGCGCCGCGGCAGATTGCAAGCAAGCATCTCTTCAATATCCTTTTTCCTATAACCCACATTTCCAACCTAAAAGTGGACCAAACTTTTTCGGGGTTGCCAGTCCAAACTTCCATCGATCTATCCATCATGCACCAAACCATGCGGTTTGACTCTTGAGTTCTCCTCTTGCTGCTCACCATCTCAAGGTTGAGGAACTTTACGCATCGCGCACTCTCCCAGACAACCGACCGCACTTTAATAATGATTCCTTCTTCGTAACTGTTTCGCTTTCACGCCACATAAAGGATCCGACGAAAAAATAAAATAAAGGAAGAAGTTGTGTATTATAGAGTAACGAAACGAAGCTGCACGTAGGAGAGGTACGGTTCAGTATTTTATGGTTGATCTTATTAGAGGTCGTTGCGTCTTCCGATTGGGAAATGAATTTAAAAGAAGCTTACGTAGTGGGTGTCGTTCTCGGCAGGAAGCGACGCTCGCCGCATAAAACCACTTGTTCATGTTGAATCTACATAGTCCCAAAAAAATAAAATAAATATATGGTATGCTTTTTATCCAATTAAAGTTCAGTGAATGTTTCTGCTACAACTTACAACGAAAACGTACAACTTTGAAGCACGAGAACTATTACATACATTGTATTACTTTGTTGCTCTATGCTTAAGATTTAACATACTACATACACCTGTTATATAAGGCATCTTTTTATGCGCGATCTGAAAGTAATTGCCAATTTGGTTTTTAATTTGTGGTGACCACATGCCCTCTTCCTATATCTCATCTTTACTGAAAAAGAAAATATTAACCTTTATCTTATTATTAAAGTATTACATCTTAATTCATCAAACTTAATAATTACCAATTTTAATATATCTTCTAAATTGGCTTATAGAACTGTATTGATTTGATCCTTACTATATTATGTAGTTGTCAACTATTATGATTGATTTTAATGTGTTTTTTTTTTATTTACTTTGCAGACGACACCGAATCGATATCGCAGCGTTTGGTGCAACTGTCCAAAGAGCAGGGATCCACCGACAACATAAGCGTGATCGTCGTCTTCCTCAGGGAACCCACGAAGATCGCATCCGATCGCCGCAACATCAACAAGCAACCTATAGCCGCCGACTCGGTCATGATGGACGCAGGCTTAGATAATGCCACCTCGAACAATCCGTTCACCAATTCGAACGAGGACATCCAGAACAGGATGCTAGGATTCCTGATGAAATCCAACAACGGCACGACAGGCGCTGATCCGATGTGCAACCTGGACCGTAACGGGAAGCGATCCGCCGCCGACGAATTCGACGACGACGATGATGATGATGACTTGGGGCCGGAGACCGACGTCGATACCTTAGACGACGTCCCGGTTAAGGTCTACGAGAAGATGGATATGGATGTAGACCAGAAGTTCGAGACGGAGCTCATGGAGATGGACAAGAGCCAGAGGAGGGAGGAGACGCCAACACCACCAGCTGATGAAGGTCAGTTTAAATTATTTTTTTATTACATCAAATTTTAAATATGCTTATATCCTTTGCTATTTTTATCAATTTAAAAACCGGTATACGAATTTATGAAAAACCCTACTTTACAAACTGTTTATGCTCAAAGCATAAAAGATAATTATTATGTTCATAATTCTATAATATATTGCATAAATTAGTTTCAAGTACAGTAAACCCTCATTATTCATAAGACGATAAATGAATCGCATATAATGATTTATTATTGAAGTTCATGTGCTGTTTATTCACCTGCAGTGATGAAATCTGCACGCCAATACCAATGTTACCAGGAGGTTGGGTGAATGCACCGAACTTATATAATTTTCTCTCATCGCCAAGATAGTTTCCAACTTTTTTTTTGTGTGAATCCGCTAATAAAAAGTGCTTTACCGTTATTGGTACGTATTAATGTACAGTAATAACTATGTTTTAAAATGTCTGGAGTTGAAGAGTGTAACGATAGTCTTCGGAAACTTTAATTGCTTATACAAGTTATCTGTGTGTAAGCACAAAAATACTAAATAAGAATTACCACACTTTTACCTTCTTGCAATTTAAAGAGGCCCTTATATTAACCCTTATTTTTTTGTCTTCTATTTTATTCTCCTATCATATAAAAGTTCGTAATTATTCTGCTTACTTTTTGCCTTTATACGACCTTAAAGTAATAAAAAAAGACGACAATGTTGTCTTGATTATTTTGAAGTAAATGACAAGAATCAATATAAAAAGGTTCAATAAACTGTGTATGAGTATTAATATATGAAGAATCTAAATATAGGAACGTGTTTATAAATACATTTGTATAAATGCATTCCACGGAAAATCTTATACTGAAGTAACATTCATACCTTACTTATAAATAAATTCAAATTATTTAATCGTCATTTGAAAAAAAAACTCATTAACCTTTATTTTAAGATAACTTTATTCTCATCAAATTTAGAAAGCAATATACTTTGTCAATGTCAATACTTTTTTGATTCTAACCTAAATTATGATTAAAAATTGATGGTTTTTATATTATTGTTTAATATCATGGCTTTGTATAATCGATTTTGGGTTTAGTAATACCTTAGTGGTAATTCTTCATTAAAATATCAAAATTTATATAATTGACAGACTGTCAATTATATATCAATTATTAAAATGTGCCATCTTTGATTAATTATATAATTAATTGAAGTACACAACTTTGTTATGAGGTTTACTTTTCAATTGTTCATCGACCATAAGCTTTTTCAAGCATACTGTGAGATGTTTAGTGTTGTAAATTGTCTGTGTAATAATAGTAATAATAATTAAACGGAAAATTAAAAAAATGCAAATTCTTAATTAGTTTACGGTAATATTCGCTCAAAACTCGCTCTGCAATTAATTAATTAAAAAAAAATAGAGAAAAAAAGAAATCAGTGTGAGATTATGCGTTTTCCATCGTTTCATGTAATTACAAATTTAATAAGGTCCATGTGGCTTCCTGGTGCCCGGTACGCGCGCTGTTTATTTTAATAAATGCAACCTAATTACGCGAAATTGCAATCTATTCAGCTGCTGCAGACGTAAACTAAGGCAGGCGTGTGCAGTGCATATCGAAGAAGAAAAAACTGGGTGAGAAGAAGAGGAAAGTTTTTTTTGTACACGTTTGCCACCTATTATTTGTCTATTTTCTGCTCGGGGTTGTGAAGCGAGAAAGATGAAGATTGTGGAAAGATGGAGAGATTCGGGTAAAATATTTTTGTCCTTCTGGTTGTCGTGATCTTTGGTTTGCAGAGGAGGAGAAGAAGTGCCGTGTGTGTGTACGTGTTTTTCGTGGGGTCGTCTCGGGGACATTTATTTTCGTGTTGCCGTGCCGCGAATGCAACCGACGATGTTAATGAACTCTCCCAATCGCATGCAGCAACGGCGCCGCGACGCCATTAACCAACATCACCGAACTGCATCTTTGCTTCTTCGTACTCTTCGTTAGGGTTTTTAATTAGTGAGAAATATTGCAAACAGTTTCTAAAGCTTGAGATTTTTTCTTCTTCTCTTCTACAATTATAAAATATACACACGTTATTAATATTGTATAATGATTCTTAAAATTCAGTGATTTATTGATTATTTTCATTTGAAGTGCTGCATTTTTTAAACATTAAGATGTACTGGACACCAAATTTATAAGACAATTTTTAGACTCATCAAAAATTTTAAAATTTCTTTTCGTATTTTGTATACAGAGTGAAATATATACCAAGTTAAATACATACATATGGTTCACAGATACGAAAAATATTATATGAAGAAATTTTCTTTACTTCAAAGATTACAATTGTGAAGAACAAATAATTGTTGTAAAGATCATTAGAATTTTCAAGGTTATCTATTTTTATCTCGACGTTTCTAGTTGATAGTAAAACGAATCTAATGACCTATGATATTCATGACCTTGAGACAATTTTTTAATCAAATTATACATGTAAAACTATTTAGATTTTTATGAATGGTCATATAGATTTCTACTATATCTAAGCACTCGAATTGTAGCAAGTTATTTAAACTACCATGTGTGTGATTCATTCATTCATAATTGTAATTGAAATAGTATTGAAACCGGTAATAACAAATCACTAGATATAAAATGAACTTTTTTTCTTAAAATAAGAGGAAAATTATGGATGTTTTTTCTGAAATTTTTGTTCTACTTTTATTGAATTTGTAATAAAAAAATTGTCATAACATCAATATTTAGTGCAAAAATTTTACAATTGCATGAATAATTACAATCAAAAAAATGTTTGAAATAAAAACAAAATCTTAGGTTTTTTCCATCCTAAAATAAATAGTAGTACTTTGTAATTGAAATATGGACGAGGAATGAGCAATATATTGTTATGAAACTTGAAGAAATTTTATTAATAATAGGTGGACTAAATGGAGATGTTTATGTAAAAGCTGTCTAGAAAAGTATTGTTTATGTCACCACATCCAATGTGTATATTTTGTCTTCCGATGGATGTTTACTACTAGCTAATGAACTGTCGAAAAAATAAAACCGAAAAATATAATAATAATTAAGAAGGCGGAAATTGTGTCACGCGCGTTCGCCTCTTCCGTTCCGTTCCGTTTTCCATGGCAAAAGTGGACTCGGACGGACACACGGCACGCGGCCACCATTCTCTTCCTTTTTCTTTTCCGGATGGACGACAATCGGCACACATTTCGAAATGGTATTCCGATTCCGTAGAACCGCTACGAACTAACTGTCCTCGCGCAATCAAACTCATATTTTTCTGCTGCTGCTGCTGCTGTTGTTGTTTCTACTTACATTTACTTTTTCTTTTCTTTCTCTTTCTGCAATTCTTCTGCTTAAACGTTTTCGTTTCGTTGCGCTGCTCCTGTACCTGGCGTTATTAATTCCCACCGAATTCGAAATCCGTCTTCCTCGCCTTTTGTTCTATTGTAGTTTTGTATGCAAATCGCGGGGAAAGCTTCGGCGATGTGCAGAAACCAAAAAAAAAAAGAAAAGCAAACAAAGAACGCTGTAACAGGCAGTAAAGCCGAGCTACAACAACATCATAAGCTGGAACAAGTTCTTTTTGGTTGTGGTCCACGGTTTTCTCTTCTCTTCATTTCTTTCGTTTTTTTTTGCTCTGTTTCTCTTTTTTCGGGCGTTATTGCCCTCCGTGTCCAAGTTTGGGTTGTTGCTCCTCTGCGAGCCGGTAAATGCGCTCCTTATTTCTTCGGATTCTTTTTTAGGTTGTCCTGACTTAACTGGTCTATAAATCTTTTGATTAATGCACGATTTCGTGATATTCCATGTCGGATTGTATGCATTTCTGCAGATGCATTTTTGCCGATACCCAAATGCCATGCGTGCATTCGTAGCGCGAGTCGAACAGTTCCGACATTTATGTTATTGCACCATTGAAACCAATTTTATATACATATTTTTCTTTTTCTTGGTATAATTTAGAAATCACGTCGTCAAACATCTGCTTTCTTGTAATTTTAATCATTTATTCTTCGTTTTTACGTCATGCGACTTAATGAGAACATTTTAAAACCATTCAATTATATAATCTCAATTACCCGTATATTTTTAGCTACCTTAGGAAAGTTAAGCAACGTGGTCACCAGTACCAATTATAAACTAGAAGCTAATATAATATCATTAGAAATAAATTAATATGCTTCTTTTTGACAATTGACACAATGTCAGATGTGATATTTTCTGTAATATAAATTTTCTTCAAGCCAACAAAAGTATGTAATTCATGTAAAAGTGTTACGGAGTTAATTCACTTTAAATTCATAAAATTACCAAATGATTTATGAAAATGTATGCACGTAGCTTTGGGCTTTATACATTCAACATTCTGATGTACAGTACTTTTGTGTGCATGGGTTAATTTCGTTTATGGAAAATTACTTCTCACTTTAAGAATAAATTATCTCAAGGAATTATTTGTTAAAGGAAGGCACTACTATAGTTTCCGAAACAAATCGTATGAATGAATACGCTTAGAGACATGCATATAAATGACTTATTTAGATATTTAAATAGAAATATGGAATTAACATTTAAATTAAAAGAGTATAATTATAGTCGAATCAACACATTATATTCGATTATAATATTTTTATTATATATTTGATACTTTTTCCACAGTTTTATTTTTTATACATAAAATGGAAAATAGTATTGAAATGAATATAATTAATTAATGTTTACATTGTTTTTTTTCAATAATTTTCGTTTTTATAAGTAATTTATATAATGTTATATAATGTGTATGTAATATTGTTTTAAAATTTTAGTGTTTTTTTTTAAATTTTTAAATCTATGCTGGTGTTTGAAAATATGAAAGTCTACGTAATAATGTATGAAACAGTTGAAGCGTTTCGAGTATGTGGCCCGAACGTTACGTTCCAGGTAGCTACACCATTTCATAATGGTTATATTAATTGAAGCATGCCTTATGCAGATTTTATTA